GAGATTTGTGTGGCGCATATGTATTTGGTGCCTCCTTGTACTAATATTTATGTGTTCAAATAAAATAAAATAAAGTACAATTACCTTGGTGATAATTATTTCGCTATAATTTTGTATTGAGTAACCATGACGTAGTAGTTTATAAAACTCTGTAATTAATAATCACTAAATTGATATTAGAACAACTGAATTAACTTAAATGTAAATTCAATCTTCCTTGATTCTCGTTTCCAATAAATTTGGGTTTTTGGAATCATCTAAGGAGATGGGTGGTTTGTGGGAGCTAAAAATCAGTAGAATTGTTGTATATTGTACTTCAGTTGTTCTACAATACGTAATACATGCTTTATTGATATAAAGTACCTATTTATCAATACTTTTCATAAATACTTTTATACAATGATAATTTTTGCTTATTTATAACTTGAAGATGAAGATTTTTACAATAATTTAGAAGTTTCCCTTAATAAAATGACGAAATTTATGAATCCTCACGAATTCACCAAACTTAATTATCATATTCTGATTAATAATACTGAATTATAGTTGAATTTATCCAAGTTATGATGAGAAGCCGTAACCTTAATCAATTTAATCGAGTCAACATTGAATCAATACACATACGGAGATAACATTTAATCATGATTATATCATTATTGTAGATGGAAATAATAATGAAAATACATATCATTGGACTCTTGTTTAACAGTTTTAAATATTTCATGAACTTTGAGATCACTAAAGATCCTGTAATCGATTTCATCTATATCATTTGTACATCTTAAATGTGCCACTGCCTCAAAATTTTGAAATAGTATAAAACAAAAGTGTTTATTATTCTTGGATTAAAACATGTTAGTTTATTAAAATGTATTGTATTCTAACTTATTGATTAAACCGGCATATTTTTAGTCAATAATGCAGCGATAGATTCTAAATTCTGTGGTTTTAGTTAAGTTCAATTGACCTACTATATGTTTATGAGGACAATGCTGTTTATATGCCCCAAATGTCTGAATATAAGTTATTTTGTTTAAAAAAAACTATGTACATATATGAATAGTCCGAAGAATTTTAAAAAAAAAACTGTCATTTTATTTTTGTATAATCCTTTGATTTATTAAGTTCATTTCCATCTTTGTTGATTTCACACAACTTGTCCTCATATATATTCAGTTGTTATTGGAAGTAGAATTCATATAGCACCCGGTAAATACTAGTGAATCTGACTTCAACTCACACTCCAAATGTAAAGACTAGTATTATTACTCTATTGTACAATCCTAACACTAACCGTAATACTTAACCCTAACATTTCTTATTTCACTAACACTCCTGATCCTAACATTTTTCCGTTTACTACTATAAATTATTCAACACTTTAGAGTTCATTATTTATCTCAAAAATATTTATCGAATGTATTTAGGCACATAATTACAGAGCATCTTAATAAAATCTGAGAACCATATATTAAATCGTTAATTTGCAAAATATCAGTCCATTATATCAAACTTGACTGTTTCTGTTGCAAACATCGATCCATTGTCTCAGATTCCATTGTTCATGCGTTTTCATACAAATTGCATTGTGCTCCCGCTCTTCTTTTCTTGATCTTCCCCCATCTTCTGCTGCCAGACATTACGTTCCTAACTCGCGTCATATACTACGTATATCAATATAAGTAGCGCACACCACACTGACTTCATTGTTATTGTGTGGCGCATATGTTTTTTGGTGCCTCTTGTACCAATGATTATGTATTCAAATAAATAAATATAATGTAGTTTTGTCACATTGTCTGTGGAAAAGAAGCACATGTTTATTTTGTCGTACGTTTTTGGCTTAAATTGACCGGCTTCATACATATTTATTTTTCATCTTACCTTCTCAGATTATCATCATCAATTTGTACTTTTTAATTATTATGATGATTACCAATGTAATTTTTTCCAACTAGTATAATTATTTGTCACAAATTGTCTTTCATTGAAACTTCCAATAGACTTAAGTTAAATATCCACTGAAAACCAGCAAGCATTGAACAGCTGTTTCGTCCCACTATGGGACTCATCAGTCGTGCGCTACGATTAGAAAATTGGAAATACTGGATGATGCGTTCGTGTTTTAAATTACGAATATTCTTTATGTTTGACTTTTTTATTATCATCGTTACTATAGTTAATTCAATTGCTGTACTATTCATCTTGTTACTTTTATCCTTACATGCTAATGTGGTTTGATAACTCGGTGTAACATACATTTGTGCTAGGTTTCACATTAATTTCGACTAAGTTTAACCGTCAAATATTAATAATTAGAAATGGAAGAATATTTGAACTCTCTCTTAGAATTTAACCACATGAGTCGATTTTCATCTTTCTAAATTGAGCCATATCAGCCCAAATTTGTTCAATCCCTTTCATTCTTAAATAGAGAATCCATGAATTTATATTAAATACAGAGAGATTTTCTAAAAGCTGTATGTTGTCAGTCAATTAATTAGCGATAACAAATAATGGAAAACTACGATCATCGTTTTTCGTATACTCTTCAAAATACTACATATTTGTGACTGAATCGTAGGATACAATCTTGTAGACGACCACTAATGTATGCTAAAGTGTGTTTTCACTTATTTATTAAACAAATGATATACTTATAAATAAATTATAATTTCTATCGCTTTAAAGCTGAAAAAGCATGGTCACTAAGGTTAAACCAAATCTTGGTAATGAGCATTTAGATATAAGGGGATTGACCGTTTTGTTTTTGCATTCATAACACTTCCATTTATTTATACGACAGACTGACTGGGAGTCTATAGAAATATCTTTTTACATTCGGGTATACAAACCAAGTTGTTGTACCTGAGTGGGATTTCGTTAATCCGTCAACTAAACCATGGCTTTATGTTTTATTTTACTTCATCTTTAGCACTTTGATTATTGTTAGTACTACATAGAACCCATGAGATTAAGTTATCAGTTACTAAGATGTTGTCTACACGTTTCAAATCCTTATTTCTTTGTAACTAACTTAACGAAACCGAAGACAGGACTAAACTGGTATTTTATCGAATTCATTCATTTCTTTCTTATAACTTATCTCTTTGTCCTGCTTCAAGTGTGTGATAAATCTTTTAACCTTTCACATGAGTGAAGCATTGTTATGATTGTATTCATTATTTTTGAATAACAAATAACTGATAGACCAATGTATATTTTCCAAACCTAAAATCATTTATCGTGCATATTACCCACTGACTGATCCATCAATGCCAGCTACAGGTACACAAAAACACCTTTTCTGATTAACAAACGTGTTTTTCAAATTCTCTCCTCTTTCAGCGTTATCATGATTTGAATTAACTTTTATCACCGTGATATAAAAATAAAAAAATAATAAATAGCCACTCGCTAATCCCATGTAACAGTTTGTACATCAGTTCTTTAATAAATAGTCAGTTCAGCGCGTTTTATGGTATTTTAGCAATTTCAAGTTATTTTTGCATGAGAAAAGTCCAAATATCTAAACATCTTAATCAAAAGCCAGTGGTGTAATGACAGTGATGATATCCCACTGATTATATTAATGTTTTAATCACTCATTTTATTATTCATGAGATTAACTACCTTTTATCCAATGATGTTTTGTAAAACAGTATAGTTTGTAGTGTCTGTTATTATGTTAAGCCCAAATACCTTATTCTAACTTTCGGAAAGCTCAATCTATTTATTCTACTTGAGTCACATTCTGACCATGTTAATTATTCGCTTATCAATCTTGACTGTTTTTATATGAGCGCGTAGGCGTTTGTACACTTCTTATCCCACTGTTCATCACATGTGTGTAACTTATTTTTGTATGCCTATAAATATTGATTAACGCTTGGTTAAATGGGAGTTGGCTCACCCGCCAACTCCACTGCGCGTTGTTTCTCTTCTCTCTATTTCATTAGCTTCACATACAAAATGTATGTATTCAAAAGTCCATTCTCGTTATTTGACTTTTGTAATTCCGTTATTGACTAACGCAAATAAAGTCGATGATTATATGCGAGGATAGGCGACATATGTATTTCAACAACAATCATCATTACGATCTAATTGGAGTCAGATCTGGGGCCACTAAAGTGGAGAGCCCTTCGACAACATCGTCCGATCTTAATGACAACGAACCAAGGGGCGTCCACAAAAGTAGTGACCCCGCCACCGCCGACGAACTGAAAGGGCTCCACGAAAGTGGTGAGCCCGACACTACAAGCTAACCTAGCTATAGACCATTTTAAATCAGATGCTTTACTTGAAGTTCTTAGGAGTTTGGTTTAATCTGTAGGATAGTACTTGTTAAAGATTGATTTCGTTTGGGTTACCATTGGAACCCTCACACTATCTCAGATGATTGACATTATAATTGTACCATAGAACTCTGACCTAGTGGGATTCTAATAGTTTGTCGTTCTCCATGAGACCTGAAAGACTTATGTGGGTAATGCTAAGTTCCATACTATAAAACAATATCTGCCCAGTGCTCTCTGGTTTTAAATAGTACTCCATGTGATATAATTCTAAAACTATTATTATCCACACATAATTAATTTATTTTAACATTCTCTTTAATTTTCTCATTTTTAAGTAAATTTCATTCATGAATGGTTGGTTGAACAATATTATGGATTTTGAAGCTTTAGTCATTCCATATCCTATTTGCTAACATTATCAGTCACTTTACGTTTACGAGTATGCGTTTTAGCTTACATCGGGTTTTTTACACCTACTTTCCTCTTGGAAAATTGTCTTTACATTCGAGTTTTTCAGGTGTCTCAACTGAAAAATATAATCTAATACGTTTTCACTACACTTTGCATACATATAAATACGTACACATCTTATCCAAGCACGGAATGGTCAGTATATTTTTCTTTAATAACTAAATCTGTGTTTTTTTTTCTCAATTCAGTCATGTTAAAAAGTATCTTTCCGTTTTCATTTAATATTAGGTAGACAATTTGGGTGGTTACTCACCGCCTGGAGAATATGGTCGTTTTATACCCACAGATATAAGTGAGCTACATAACATATCAACATCAATATATACTCGACACATGTCAATCGCACCAGGTATTACGCCGCCACCTCAACCTCCCATGTTACCACCACATTTGTTACAGGTAATTTTGAAATTTGTTTTGTTTTCGTTTATTTATCTAATTATTTATATAACCACTTTTAAAATTCCTAATCCCAGTTATGTGTTAAATGAAGTTCATATATTCCAACTTAATAATAATAAATTTACTTTTTATTATATTCCAATGTGAATGAAAAAGTTGTATTTCTGACGTTTTATGACTTAATGTAGGCCATTTCTTCAGAGTAAATAAAACGAAGAAGTGACTTACATTAAGTCACGAAACGTCGAAAATACAATTTTTCCTATTCATTGGGATATAACAAGAAAGATATATTTATTATTAACCTTCTACTCAATGCTCAATTTATTTAAAACTATCAAGTCCAACCTTGGCATTGATACCTATAAACTCATTTATAATAATAGTCTGATGCTAGTTTAAAACTCCGTTTAGATATGTTTTATATATGTATATGTAATAATAATAATAATAATAATAATAATAATAATAATAATAATAATAATAATAATAATAATAATAGTCTTTCATCACTGTCAAAATTAGAATTTATTGATGAACTAGTCAGATAAATGTTAACATTTCTTTGAGTTTTTCACGAAATACACTCATCTATATAGAGATAAAAGGCATTCTTGCACTATAGCTTACACCAGTTCGTTATGTCAAACCATAATTTCAGATCCTATTTGAAACCTATTAATTTGAATATCTCAAGGTCACTTTTCAATCACTCAAAGGTTGTCCATAAATTTAGAGAACACTATGGTCTAGAAACAGACATTTCTTTGATAAGCTTCATTTGTTGAAGTAAATTATTCTTTGACTGTCCATAACAGCTTATTATTACTGTTATTATTGTTCACCAAGTAAATTGTTGAAAAATTGATGTAATGACATCTGACAGACAGGCATAAACCAGCATATATATATATATATATATATATATATATATATATATATATATATATATATATATATATATATATATATATATAGACGTTGGGTCAAGTTTTTACCATACCACGTTGACACAACACAACAACCATGTTATTTACCGGAATTACATTTTTTTCTCCATACTATTTTCAGTGCTATACGTCTGCAGACGTCCCTACAGATTTTAATTTTGCATTTTATGTGAAATTGTCCCTTTTTACTATTAAGTCAATAATTGCGTCTGAACGTAACACAATCATATAAATCATATCGTTTAGATTGTATAATTCATGTTCAATGAATTCTTTCCTTTCATCACTGACTCATCTGCTGCGCCCAAAAAGGAAAGGGCTGGGTCATAGTGCGTAGGTAGATTTGACGATAGGAGCTGTTTGAGCTTGACAAATGCTTCTTGATATTCTGTTGACCAGATCCATTTTGTATTCTTTGTTAGTAAAACGATTCAGCAGGACTAACAGACAATGAGATCTGGAAGAAAAACACCATAATGGCTAACCATTCCCGAGAAGGAGCGTAAGGTTGATACATCTGTCGCTGGAAGCATAGTCTTGATAGCCTTGACGTTTTCTGAACCAGTTTTTCTTCCGTTTTTGTCGACTATGAATCCCAAATAGCGCATGTTGTAGTCGAGTTCCCCAGCACGTGGTCTGAATCCATAATCTGCTACACGTCTGAGGATCATATCCATTTCCTTTAAGTTAGCGTAATCCGTACCCGTGGTAAGTATATCATCCAGATAGGCCGCAGTACCAGGAATATTTTGCAGCATAATGCCCATAACTTTTTGAAAAACTGATAGGGCTGTATTTACTCGAAAACTAAGTCTGTTATACCGGAACAATGCTTTATGAGTGTTTATAGTCAGATAATGCTTACATTCTTCAGCTACTAAAGTCTGTAGGTAAGCTTCTGATAAGGCCAACTTGGTGAAATACTTCCCCCATTCAGTTTCGGGAACAAGTCTTCTGGTAAAGGCAAAGGGTACTGTTGGGCTTCAAATGATTCGTTTAGTCCTGTCGAAAAATTTGCGCATTTCGTTTTGACGGATTGTCTGGTGTCTTATTCAAATCCCGGCTCAAGAAATATGAACATATATTCAAGTTCGACACAGAGAAATTTGATGATGCTGCAAACGTCAGAGTACTACTTCGCAAACTTGGCACAGCTGAACATGAACGCTTCACCAACTTCATTCTTCCAAAGATTCCTAGATACTTTTCCTTTGGTGTAACGGTCTAAATTTTACTGCAAATCTTTGGCGAGCAGTCATCTTTTTCAGTATTCGTTAACAACGTCTCAATTTAGCAAAAGCTGTCGTATAAAAGAATCTTTTGCCCATTTATTGCTCATACGTATGGCGGCCAACCATTGAAGTGTCATGTTTCAAGTTTACCAACCTCTAGCATTCACTGGTCACTTCTCGCAGCGTTATATTTGGACATTACTCAATGTTACTCAGATTTCTGGTTCTTATATCGAAATCTTAAGGTAACTAGAAGTTGAATACAAAACAAGACACTTAAACTGGTCCTCTGTCATTACAGACAATTTAAAATGCTTTCACACACGATTTGCTATGCTGGGATATTGCACCCAGACATCTTTGTTTACTAACGAAGAATACCAAATGGATCTGGTCAACAGAATGTCAAGAAGCATTCTTAAAGCTGAAATAGCTCCTATCGTCAAACCTACTTACGCACTATGACCCAGCTCTTCTCGTTGTGGGCGCAGCAGATACGTCAAGTTATGAAATCGTAGCAATGATTTCACTAGTCTACCCTGGTGGATCTGAGTAAAAGTCTGTGTGCGCTGCGCGACCACCGACAACGATAGAAGGGACTTATGGTCAGAAAAGGAAGCCCTCTCCTTTACCCTGGCTGCGAAAAAGTTTGTCTAGATGGTATTCCGTAGACAGTTTACGTTACTAATAGACCAGAAACCGCTGTTGACAGTTTTTATATCCAAAATGGTATCCATGTATATGCAGCAAGCCGTCTACAACGATCTGCAACCTCACTGCTGGGCTACGTCTTCAAAATAAAGTGCCAACTGAAAACGGATTTTGGACAGGTAAGTGCTCTTTGAAGATTAATCGGCTCCCATACAAAACTATAAGAGGTGCTTGTAGCTGAGGTCGAAGTTCGCATAGTGTTGACAGACGCTATTTCGGGGCTATCGGTCACATTCGAAGCCATTAAAGAAGGTAATGAAAAGAATAATCCGTTGAAGATCGTTCGACGTATACTCAGCAAGTGGCCTTCACCTCGACTCCATGGAGAGCTTTTACAATACTTTCATCTGAAAGACTTTTTGACAATTGTCGATTCGTGAGTTATTTTTGGCCACCGAATTGTTATTACAGAATTTTTCGGCATCAAATCCTAAGACAAATCCATGGCGGGCACTCAGGATTACGTAAAATGAAGTCAATGGCTCGGAGTTACTCATATTGGCCGTCAATGGATCATGATATAGAACAAAAGTGTCGTAGCTCTTGGTCCTGTCAAGAAGCTACAAAGAATAGGACTAAATCAGAACCTCAACCATCGCCAAAACTGGACTGTACTTGGCAAAGAATACATGCTGATTTTGCTGGTCCAATGCAAAGCAGAAACTACTTGACTGATTTCACAAAGTGGCTGGAAGTATACGATATGCCGAATACGTCAGGGAATACAGTAAGAAAATTGTCAGGATTGTTTGCTTGTTTCGGAATTCTGGAGATCTTAGTAATTGACAATGATACTCAGTTCATGTCATTCGCTTAAAATCGGTTCTGCAGTGAAAATGACAGCACGCATCTACGATCTCCTCCATACAATCCCCAATAGAATGGCCAGACAGAAAGATTCGTGGATACGTTAAAAAAAGGCTCTGACTAAAAGAGAAGGAGAGGGCATTCCACCACAAGTGGTCAATAACTTCCTAATGTCCTACAGAGTTACACCCAATCCAGCAATGTAAGAAGGAAAGTCCCCAGTTGATTGTATGCTCTCAAGGGAAGTTCGGACAGTCTTTAAAAGTATGTTGCCACCCAGGTAGATAAATAAACCTATAAATGAGTATTGAATGGTCACTCGCAACTTTCAGGTGGGCGAAAGGGTTCTTATCAAGTTGTATCAAGGTAATAGAAAACGGGAACCAGATATTATTAAACGTCGGGTTGGAAAAGTACTGTACGTAGTTCGGCGAAGTGTCGGGACTTGTATAAGACGTGTAAGTCAAATTCGAAGGGATGGTAGAACAACGATTACACAAAGCCCATTCCCAGTTCAAATACTCGTGGATTCATTTCAAAAAAGCCCTAAGGAGAACGAAAGCAGGAGATATAAAAGGCGAAATTGCAAAACAGTACAACCTTCAAGAGTGATGAACCGCAAGAGAAATATGGTAACCAATTTTCAAATGGGCTCAAGCAGAAAGTCTTACACAAGAGACTTTAAAGAGAGTAGGTATGTGGACTTCTCCCGGTGAACTCAAGGAAGCTCTGGAAGAGCTGAAGACATTCCATCCAAATGTCGTTTGAAAGAAAATTCCAGAATCTCTACGTGTAGCTTCCCGATTGTTCCAATCTTCCTCTACTCTTTTTATAATTGTCTGAAATAATTTAGTTAGATTGAATTAATGGTCCGTATTAATGTGTATTCCACTAACAATAAAACAATTTTACTCTACTAATGTAACTGTTTTCTTCGCTCCGATGATACACCAATTTCAATAAATATTCTAGTCTAAAACAGTAAATATTAAAATAATCTCTTGACTTTCCTATACTAATCTAATGATTAGCTTATACCATGAGTACATAATATTCACTTGGTGAATCACCATATTTTTCTAAAAATTAGTCACGGGGACGTTTGTTTTTTTACATAGTAAAAGTTACAATAATGGGTACATATTGGTAACATATAATTGAATTCTCTATATTACTGTTATATCAATTCATAAAATAATAGTAAAACAGTCTGCAATTATTATTGCGAGCCTAATATCGTGTATGGTGATTAAGATATTTATTTATTTACTTGAACACATAAATATTGGTACAAGAGGGCACCAAATATATATGCGCCACACAAAATCTTATTTATGTGTAGGCTGTGATACTGCCCGGGTGCCCAGACCGAAGCAGGTGGTTTTCTTAGGGGGTCACACCCCGAGACTTTGACCTAACGGTCTGATCCACAAGGCAGTGGGGCATCGTGAGGAGATGCAATCCCATGGTCGCCGGTGACCAACGAATGGTTCATATGCCATTTGTTCCTTCAGGATACTGGAGCCCATGTGCACTATTGGTTTGGGATCCGGTTAAAGCGCCGGATATTCGCTTTTCGTCCTCTCATTTTCGTAAGCAACAGTAATGCCACGAGAAGGCAGTGAGTAGGACTTCCCTGGCAGGGGCTGTATACTCGTGGCCGTGTGAGAGCATTTCGAGAGGGAGGGCGGGCCCGCCCCACTGTCGGTCATACCAGGGCATTTGGGGGCAGTGATTAAGATAACCAACTTTCAACCAGTAGGTCATAGATTTTGAATTCTGTCTGATCTACTAATACTACTACTATGGTTTTAGCATTCGAGTACTATTAAGAAATAACCATCGCATAAACACAGTATAACTCAAAGTACATAAACTAGTACACATGTTGGATGATGTACATTGAAACGACCAACAATATTTACATGCAATTTAATTTTAATAATTAATAGCACATATACGTCTGTTTAGTGCAATAGGCCATCAATAAACTGGTAGTAGTATTATTATTAAGAAAAAGAAGAGAGAAAATAACGGAAACTACATAATAAACTACTTCCATGCATATATGAAGAAAATAGGTTTCATCTAGTCAATAAATTTGTCCTACTCCTAATGAAATCATATGATATAAAATTATATCGGAATTCCGATTGATTCTTGTTGTGAGTTTATACTTAACTAACCCAAGCAGACAAGTTTCGCGACCGATCATATTAATAAACTTGGACAAATAAAATCATCGTCGTTCTAATTAGTTCACTCATCAAATCGAAAGTTTGGAATGTTGGGGATATCATTAACTTAATTCTTCAGTTTTTTTCCTTTTTGGTTATTGTTTGAATTTTAATTACTCGATTGAGCAGGCTGTAGTTGTTCGTTAATGTGATATTCCACTGCCTATACGCTAACCTACCATTTTGTCTTACTCAAGAGTTTGGAAGGTAACGTCGAAATGGACAGTATTAGACCATAGATTCAATGAACTTGAAACTATCATCGATGGATTGAATTTTACGGGATAATTGCAATTTAGATGGTATCAAGCAACACCGATTGGGATGACCTACTTGTGTTGACTTGCTACCTTTCCCTACATATTAAATACTTATTCGCTTTTTAACGCAATGAATATTATTTATGATCTCTCTCTATCCTGATAAGCGTAGTAACTCGAATGAATCCTCACTCAATTCTATTGAATATCTCAATTATCGGCAGTGAAGAAATGCTGGTCTGTAAAACGTACACCAGATCTCGAGGCAGTTATTTCGACATTGTTTTCTTGGAATTAAAAAAGATTGACGCACACTAGTGATCTTATTCTTTGGGATTGGAATGCCATGCAATGTATTTAGAATTGACTCATCATTCCATAAATCTACGGATTACGATGCTTTCACAAACCCTCGTGAAGTTGGATGTGTTTAAGTTATTACTGCATAATGACTAAGGCACTTCAAAATGGTAATGTTGAAATTAGAACCATAGAAATGCAGCTAACCTACTGTTCACTTCCAACTGACAGCGTTGTTCAATTAGTTCTCTGATCCAGGTTGCTTTAGGTTAATTATATTGTAAAACATGGTAATGCCATGCAGTCGTTACTGTAAATTTGCGCTGAATATGCAAATGTGACTTAAGTAATTTTAACTGAACTTCTACATTGTCTGTATGAATCATCTTTAATGGTTATACCAGGTTTAAAATGCAACCATCGACAAGAGGTCTCGGTTGACGGTGATGTTTGGAAATACACCAATTCACAGCTTATTGTAACAGAATATTTTAATGTACCAATTAGAATCCCCTGTCTATAACACTACTTGTTCTTTTATGAAAAATTAATTTCAGGGTATTTTAAATATGGATACAAACACCCATTGTGACCCTAATCTGCTGCCACAACCAAATCATGTAATTGTCAACCACCTGTATGCCCTCTCGATAAAGGTGAGTAGTTTCGTTTACCTAGTGTTCGTAGCACGCATCTCTACATATTAGTTTGCTTATTCTTTTTACCCAGTGAATATCTGTATCGATAGAGATTACATGTTAATTCTTGCGGACAAACAATATGCAGTGACCTGTTATTTAAGCGTATTAGTGGTATGTACGCACCCGACTGTTGAACAATGTCAGTAGTTGTACATGTTTGCAATCTCATTCGTTTATTTTACATTGTATAAAATGCCTATAATACAAGCGAATGGGACTGTTAGAACTATGGTCTGGATAACTTCCAATTGCAGGAGACAACTCGAGTTTCCAGAGCTTTAACTGATTATCTAGGAAAATGCAGTACTCTAATAGTAACCACATACAATATTTGTACTTTGCTGAAGTTTTCTATAAAGCGACGGAAGCTATACTTATTACTCCACACAACAATTGAGGTATTTAACGTCCCCTCTCTTTAACAAGTTCAAAAATGGATGCTTGGATCAGATATTTCTTATTACTTTTATTTTTCCTCAGGACGGTGTAATTGTGCTCAGTGTAATCACACGCTTCAGGCAGAAATTCGTGTCAACTCTTTTCTACAAACCGATTGAAGGATGACCAATATATACATATCCTAAATTTGCTTTCTTTTTGGTTACAAACAGTTCATGAATCCACAGTTGCAGTTTACCTCTGAGTTACGAATATACGCTCAAAATTTGCTTTTAGCCCTTTATAGATTTTTAAAAAGCTATATTGTTCTTTTTTAATTCTTTATGGGGATAAGCAATTAGATTAAAAAACATCGACTTATTATTAGGACAAAACATTGGGAGTAAAAAAGGTTAAATAGAAAACTGTACACCTAATAGATTGTAATAACAAAACTTTGATACATAAATGCTGCCAATTTGAAGAATTCTAAAAGTTTACATGAAACAAAAAGCATAAATCTAAAAACATTAAAATTTATAAGAATTGACCATTGAGCGAAAAATATATAAAACACACTGACATAAATGCAATAAATATTATGAAATAAGTAGTAATTAAAAAACTTTAGGTATGAATCGATACGGCACCAAGGCTGTGTACTTTTGCCATGCTGGACCATGTTTTCTTAAACAAGCATCCTCCACAACTATGGAACGATGAATAATGTTGAGAATTGTGATAGCGGAAATCCCCCATAACAGTGGAGAGTCGAAACCTATAAAGAGAGTAAAGTGGAAAGCGTGTCAATTGCCAGCGATCAGCGCGACAGTTCATAGTAATGAGATCAGTACGATTGCCGATTCAAACACAAGCGTGTTTCGGCAATTACCCAGGTGACTGTAAACCCATTTAATGATTGTCTGGAAAACTCATAAGTTTCTGTAATTAAGCTACCTAATCCTGAAAAATTTATGTATTATCTCTACATGTGTTGAGTACAGAATCAGTTAAAGATGAATTTGGAAAAATATTGCTCTCCTATCCACATAAAAATTAATAAAGCTCACCGCATGGAACCTGCATTGCCATGGCCATAATAATGTAACCCACATAATTTGGGTGGCGAACATGACCCCAAAAACCTGAAACTAGTAACCGTTGAGCACCTGGTCCAACAATTATTTCAGCACCTAAAAACGAGAACAGATAAACGGATAAATTGATTATACCAAAGAATACACAAATGAAGCTGTACGCATACTATTTCTACTGATTGGATCCTGTCTTATATCGCAAACTAGCAGTTAGCTCAGTTGTATCAGAATTGTTAAAGATTGATAATGTAACTCGAGGTTTAAACTGGGCTAGTGCTTTTACCCCAGATCTGGTTGGTTGAAAATACATTTGGTCTAGGTCACCTACAAACTCAAGTTAGTGAGCTTCCATGAGCAATAAAAATTACGGAATAGCATTGCGAGTTGAACCAGTTTTTACTTTATAATTCTTCCGTCATTCGATGAATTTATAATCAGGATGCACGTCTGTGTATATATTTGAAGTTTCGTCAGCTGAGTTTCGCAACAAAATGTTAGTAAAAAAGCAACTGATAGCGTAACGAGGACTTCAGTACTAAACTATGAATTATGAATACGACAATACAAATTGTCTGAAACTCAATAAATAAATTGCTTTAGAACAAGCGACAAACCAACTCTGGTGTTGACTGTTACCATTAAAATATGATCATAACTGGTGACATGTGACTAGAAAATGAGATTTCCTACATAATATGTGCTGAAAATAATAAAGCATAAAAGTAGGGAAACATAATACAACTACAAATTAAGTCGGTTCATCCTCAGTATTGAATAGTTGAAAGTTATTACACGCTAACTGCGTACATGTTAATTGTTATTTGTGGATGTACCAATCAACATAAAAATAAAACATTGGATAAACTAGCTTTTAGACATTTCAAGGTTCCTGGTTATTTTCAATTCAAAAAATATCAAGACTGCAAAATTAACCTTGGTAAGCAATAGACGTCAACTCACTAGCAAACGATGGATCATGAGGATCACGTCTGAATCTATCTTTCTGGTTGTTTGATCTACGATGAATCCATAATCCCAGTAAAAATAAAACAATAGCAATCCCCATAATCCAGGCATTACAACTATGCTTTGAAGAACTAGTTAGCTGTCTGCCAACATCAGGTCTTGAAGACAAGTATGAAGTTGTTATGGAATATACGAAAGGTAAAGCGACCAGTCGACTGATAATAAAGCAAGAACCAAATGTTACGGATTGCGCTTCGTAAGTAAAGGAGAAGGCATTCTAAAACAAATATAAAAAACATGGTATATTATGATATAAATTTCAATTTATAATGTTCGCTATTCTCCGAATAACAATTTTCTAATTGATCTTGACTACTTACAGTATACAACAAAGAACAAAAATTCAAGTACGTATGAAAATACACTACAACACGTACCTCGAAGATGAAGAAGTCAAGCACCCATAAAGCGTGCATAAGAGCATGCGCAGCAAGAGCCGGGCTAATGCGTTCATATTGCTCATACTGTCTGAATATATACGTTAAGTCTATTAAGGGCAATGCCATCAATCCCGACCGTGTTACAGTCATTTTCCAATCAATACCAAACCACTGGGGTCGTACGTGACGACCACACCAAAAATCAAGGAAAATACTACCTATAAATTGTGAGAAAAGCATGCATTAAATAATTATATAATTATTTGGGAAATGATAAGTATTGTTAGCCCGATGATGATAAAAATTTTTACGGATATGTTTTGTTTTCTTTGGGAGTGATCGATCCCTCTTTTTACAATAAAAACCTAAGGGTAGGCTAACAGTCACTCCCTAAGAAAACGTACATATGCTTTAGTGTGAAATGAACATGAGTACTGTGCAGTTAAATAAATAAACTAAAAAGAGCATATACAAAATAATTTTTCGAGATTAAAAATGTATGGATGTGAAACCGACTAAAATCAGGAAAATATTACACATGCATTCCCTACAACATTGATTAAAATTAAATAGAAATCATATAATCTAACTGGTTAGAAACAGAGCCAACTACTTTCACTAACTTGTTTTGGCCGCTGATTGTCTTGTATAACGTACAACTGTCTTAGAGGCGAAATATGCAACCAACGACAAAAAAAGAGACGCCAAACAAGATGAAGTCAGTAAACTGAGCCACAGGTTTGGGAGCATTTCACTTGGTTTTAAGTTTCTGATTGTAGTACACTCGGAAATTTCAGCGAAAGCAAACAACCCAATGAAGATGATAAAAGATATCAGACCTACAAGGATAAAATGCATACAATATTAAGATAACGATAACAGAAAAAATTTTAGATTAATGGGTGAGAAGTGTTTGTGTTTTGTATCATAAGATTTTGAAGAAACTTCATTGAAAATGTGACCACTAAAAGCACATGTTCACCTTTATGAACGGTGAGATAGAAACCTGGTTTTAAACAATCCTCTAGTTAAGTTTGCTAGATTGTTTTTTTCCTGAAGGTACTAACTACTCAATTTATCTGAAAAGAAATGGCGGATTTATCGATTGAGTTGATCAACAATAGATTTTTATGAACAGAATTGCATTTTGAACAAGTGGTTTGACAAATGCAGTACTAGTGTGCTACAAAATTACTGGCATATAGCAAGACGTAGCACTTAATTTCTGTTATTCAGATATTTGTTCTTAATCAATGTTTAATTTAGTTATGACAGGGAGCAGTTATGCATTTTAATCAACTGTGCTTGATATAGACTTCGTCTCAGCAGTGAAAAAACTTACTATTACAGCGGTAGTCGATATTTCGTAGCCCTGTTGTAACAATTCGACCAATAGGGAGAAAACGAGCAACTAGACACTGCAACAGAAGATACATAAAAACAAGCACGGAACTCTGGATATTGATGTAGTTGTGCCAGTCAGTTGGCCAAAGAACTCCAAGGAGTGGACGTGCAGGACCCCACAAACTTTTATTATCTCCAGTTGGCCAAAGAATTTCAATTAATGGATACGTAGATTCCCATAAGCTTTTATTTTCTCCAGAAAAATTGCTTACTGAAACGGGTGCAAATATCAGAAGGTTCAGCCAGTAAACAAATGGTACAATGAACAGTACTTGAATAATGGCAACAACAGTTGGACTAAACAACGTTTTACGATAACTTGTTAAGAGTGGATTTAGTGTTACTGGTTTGTGTGGTTGGATCGCTTCCGGCTTGTGAACTGGTCTACAAGAAACAGATATAAAACAATATATTTAATATAGCGTACTTTTTGATGGAGTTTTGTTTTCTGAGCTGGATGGTTTATTCGTGAAGCTTTCATCGTCCTTCTGAACGACACCATCAGCATAAACTTCAGGTAGAAGTGTGTGCTGATGATGTCGTTCAGAAGGACGATGAAAGCTTCACGACTAAACCATCCAGCTCAGAAAACAAAACTCCATCAAAATCATCTACCTGAGCTACAAATCTCCACCATCTCAATATAGCGTACTGCCAAAATGTTAGCTTGTGAGTTGTTTGCTCAGATACTTAAGCTTCAAAACAACTTTTCAGAATTGCGTGGAAACTAACCAGGAATACCTAGACTTAGGTTGTTATGACGTAACTTAAGAACGATTTAAAATACTGATTTTTAGAAGGAAATGTGTGAGCAATGCAAGCGAAAATAACTGAGGTTTTTGTACTGGAAATCCATTATTCTGCAACTGCATGTTCGTCTAACTACAAATGAAAATCTACTAAGTTACTAAACATCTGTATTAGCTTAATCCCCCGAAACGTTGTGGTATTTAGTGATAATTATGATTTCAAACAACGTGGAAACAAATGTAGATCAATTTCAAAAGGAATGGATTGACTATGACTTATTAGTGATAACCGCAATGCCTTAGCTCAAGTAGATGAATTAAGACTGAGTCACGTAACCGACGTTGCTTCAGACTATCGACTGGTAAAAAGATGTTCTTTGAATCCCCAACAAGCCATCAGTTGAAATACTGAAGGTACTAACATATGCTTCTATTAATACACTGCTACAAGAAGAGAAGACGAGTACTTGCCGTACTCAATTGAATGAAATGCGCGCGAATGGTTAATGGGAGTAAGGATGCATAACACTCAAGCAGATAGTGGACTGCAGATTTATAAATGAAATCAACTGCGTATGATTTATTATTTATTTATTTTAACACATAAATATCGGTACAAGAAGGCACCAAATACATATGCTCCACACAGATCTCATTTGATATGTGTGAGGGCTGTGATACTGCCCGGGTGCCCAAACCGAAGCAGGTGGTTTTCTTAGGGGGCCACACCCCGAGCCTTCGATCTGAAGATCTGATCCACAAGGCAGTGGGGCATCGTGAGGAGATGCAGTCCCATGGTAGCCGGTGACCAACGATTGGTTAATACGCCATTTGTTCCCGCAGGATACTGGAGCCCATGTGCACCATTGGTTAGGGATCCGGTTGTAGCGCCGGACATTCGCTTTACGTCCTCTCATTTTTGTAAACAACACCCCCGCCACGAGAAGGCAGTGAGTAGGACTTCCCTGGCAGGGGCTGTATACGCGTGGCCATATGAGAGCATTTCGAGAGGGAAAGCGGACTCCCCCCACTCTCGGCCGTACCAGGGCATTTAGGGGCACGTATGACGGAAGTTACATCAATGAACCGATTTGTTACGAAGACAGTTTGCAGATGGCCTTGCAGTAGTCTGATAAGTCTACTTATATTGTCACTGGGTCACTGAAAAAATTATTTGTTACTGCTTTAGACCAAGCTTTTTAGGAACTAAGTGTTATGCACACTTGTTTTCAAGACAGAAAAGTAATAAATTGTACTTAACAATCGCTGTCACCTTTACCCATTGTTTTGAATGTTATAGGAAAGCGATTGAGAGTTAACAATACAGTCAGCTATAAGCATACAACCTGCTAATGACAAATGAACAGTCTACCGGACGGTTATTCTTAACTGATAGAAGTCACTGGAAAGAATGGGAGGCATATCCGGGAGGTAGAAAGCTGGTTGTATTGTTGATTATTCAAGCACTTTTTAGTCAAACATTTTACTTTGGACGAAATCAGAAGCTTTCCTGCCTTAGGACAATAATTAATGTAGAATCCTTTGCCATAGAACAACAAGTACTTAATCAGAACCGTTTGAGTGGAAACATCTGTACAGCGGTTTTTCATAATACACCAATTCCTCTAATTTTAACGAACTGTTAGCGTTTCTTACATCGTTGGCACAGTTTTCTATACACATAAAATGTTTAGAGATGTAAAAATATGGGCGGGTTCGAACTAGTTGATTTGATTAATTTAGTCACATGATTGACGTACACGAGAATGTTTTAGTAAACATGAGTATTAGTAGTAGAGATTACTGATAGTTTCTTTACAAGATATTACTCCTGTAAACTGAAAATCAGATAAAAGCGATTATAAATTACGATTAGTTCATGTGATCACTGTCAAGTGATTAAGTGAGCAAATTACCCTAAAGAGCTTTCGAACACAAGGTTTACTTGTGACTTTATCAAGCCTAATATTCTCAATGTACGGTGTTTTACAAAGTTTAATGATGCCGTGCTAACGAAACATTGTTCGAACTGGACAGTCTGTTTAATGTCTATAATTTTGAAGACCAGATGGGCGAACATTCAATGGTTTTCAACTGGAAGTGTTTATATATATATATATATATATATATATATATATATATATATATATATATCAGAAAAAACTATAAGTAATAAAATCATCACTTAGTAAATATAGCTTGGTCAGCGTACGAAGGACAACAGATTATCAGTAAAACAGCTAATCTAAATGAGAAACTCAAATATCGACATGTAGATTCTTTGATTTTATAAACCGATCGGGAACAGAAAGCAATCATTATTGCATTCAATCAAACTAATCGGAAGTCTATTAATGCCTAGGTGATGCACGATATTGGACTTAAGATGGTAGCAATCTACACATGCATATTTTCTCTTTGTATACAAAATGGAAGTCTACAATGCTGTATTAAAATTATGCATTCAAAAGTTTACAGCTACTAATTGTAACGGCGTGTGAAATCTAGAACATCGAACTTACCCTTCTTGATAGAAATGAGTTGGTTTTTCAGTTTCTATTTTCTTGATAATTTTTTGGGAAAAACGAGACAGTCCATGGTTTAGAGGCAATGATTTTAATACGTCAGTTTGAACAGGACGGTCAAAAACAGTCTCAGTATACTGGGTTGTTTTTGTAACACTTTTGATAGATTCTTCACTTGGATCAAGGCTCGGAGAACGTCTACGTCTCACCTTGGACTCAGAGGCGGGCGTACGCGCTCGCCTAGTAGGGGTTTTTGATCGAGACCGTGCAGAGCTTGGGGTTCGTGCACGAATTTTTGAAGTACTCCGACTAGTTGACTTACTACGACCCCGTGTTACCTGAAAATGAAAGTTTACAAACACGAAGATATCATGATATAGCATAATGAGCTTTTTAAAACGTTTGGCTTTTTCTGAATAGTCAGTCAATACCAGCGTAAAATCTGAATATCGATAAAGTTATGCTACACTGACGAACCAATTAAACTAAAAATAGCACTCATCGAATTTCCACACGATATCTGAAAAGTAGTTATCAAGACCTCGTATGTTATTAGAAGCTAAATGTAACCTGCATATATCTGATTTCTAGGACGCTTAAAATTGACAAACACACGCGGTGCAACTCCATTTTTTATACCTAACCCATTTAAATTTTATTTCTAACGAAATTCCTTACTCCACTCCGCCCCAACTTTAAATAATTATATATATATATATATATATATATATATATATATATATATACATATATATATATATATTAGACCAAACTCTCCTAGTATGTTGATTAACCGCTCAAGGTCAATAGTACGGTATCTATAAAATTTATTGCTTAAGTGAGCATAATAGGATAGAAAACCATCTGCGAAATGAGTGGTTTGTTTTACCTTCTAGCGGGTGATTTTAAACGCACGTCGAACAAAACTGCACAGTAATCACCATCGCCACTGCATTACATAGCTACATAAAAGGGATGGAAAACGTTAAACAACGCATGCTTTATCTAGGTCCATCAGCACACTCCTAGTCATACGAGCTACAAGGCACTTATGTAGTAAACGACCACCACCTACGATGTACCATTAAGGTTTGTTCTACAAAAACTTAGTTAACCAAATCTGAACCCTTCTGAGTGCTGAAAGTGATCAGTCAACCAAACGACCGTAAAAACTTTTAGGATTTAATAGTAAAGTCATATAATCAATAGTTCGAAATGTGAGACAAACACCTTATATGACCAACAAGCCTGAAAATTGCAAATAACAAGAACTAATTGCTTGTATAAAATACATGCAGTTCAATGAATTATCTTTACCATCTACCATGTGGTGGAAGATAAACCACAGTATCATAATGGTAATAACATCATGAGGGAACTGCTAATTATTGACAGTCAACATAACTAAGGTAAAAGGCATCAACTCGACGTCGAGAAAGTACTTTTACTGATTAAGAAGGACAAACCGACTGTATAACAAAACAAGGATGATAATTTAGAAAACATTTCAAACTGATAGACAACTCCTAAGGATATAAATTTCCCAAATATTTTAGAAAAACAGAAGCCGTTTAATGGTTCACAGATTAAATGCTTACTATCTCATTGGTCTTCTTTTTGGGCGGCATCGAGACGGCAAATAATTTGGTGCGAATCAGCAACAACGAACAAAGATGAAAATATGGCGTCGCGCTACTTGTTAAAACAAACGTAGTAGAAGATATCTGCAGCAATACGTTTCTCGTAGCAAAAATTTACAGGTAATATAATTTTCAAATATTGTCCATAATCAAAATTGTCATTAGTGATAGATGAATATCAAAGTAGTTACTAAAGCACTGTATTTTACAGTTCTTAATATAAACAGAAACGCTCAGGTTTTACACCTTCAGTAGATCCGAGCTGAAAAATACCTTCACCATGTACTATACCTGACAAACATGAGAGAGTAAAGACAGACGAACAAACAGTTAAACCATAGATGACTTGAAAGGAGAACTTTCTTCAAAAATACTTTGGAAATCACTTAATTTCAGTACCTACACGTTCATTCATAATTGAAAGATAAGTGGGTCGTCTCAGAAGCTAACCCATTAGGATCTGTACACGTATTTAGCCACGATGCTTTAACTACCTGTCATGATACGCTGCGAAAACTGGAGTGCATAGCAAATACTCGTAGTGCAAATACTGTGATAAATATATAAATAACCGGGATTAAAGTTCTCCGAACCGCACTCGTAATACACAAAAAAACACAGTCGACCTGGTTATTTCTTCAGAAAGTTTACCCGTATTGAGATACAGACGATAAAAATGTTGGACTTAGCAATCACAATAAGCAGCCTGCTTGAATATCTGGGTCACCTGCTCCTTCACTATAGATACTTCAATAAGTTATCTTTTTCGTTCAATTGAGCACGCCAGTTGTATCTACTAACCGCATAATTTATTCAGGCGCGTGTTCAAAAACTTTATGGCGTATCGCTTTACAAGATACAAGAACGTACAATTGGAAATATAAAAAAAATAAATGTTAACCATATGCCGATTTCTGAACCGCTAAATTTCAACTGCAAAACACTGACTGAGAAAGTGAACTGCTCTGATCTGTTGATCTCGTGTGACATCATGACCGAGCGCCTTCAGCTAAGTGAGTCTATCCAAACTAGTGTGGTCAACATTAAATGTCGAAGACTTAAAGAGCTATTGATTTTGGATATTTACTTACGCTACATTCACCCCTCCTGTTAGTGACATAGTCATGACCCTAAGACTTGTCCAGACACATGTTTAAATCCAACGAGCTTGTGGTTGGTAAACACTCCTCTGATAGCTTTCTATGTTCAGCAGCGTCTGATCGTCTTTCCCTACTATAAAGGCCATGTGGTAAGATGTAGTAGTGAAAAAGAAGTATAATGAAGATTTCGGTTCATCGTAATGTTCGCCTGTTTTACATCTTTTCCAGCTGTTCTTTAAAAGATAAAATGGATATATAGGTTCATGTCTAATTTCATTCATACGTGCGTAAAGATACACAACGGTCAAACAAAAAACAACTTATATACATTTCGTTTTTATGGAACAAAAAATTATATGAGCATATTATAAATAGTATTTCATGGTACGGCAATGCAAAATGTCGGGATGAAACAAAATGTTATGTTGTGTCTTACGCGCAGTAATCATCTAAGTGTTCCGGAAACTTTATTCTTCTTCGAGAACGCGTTGTATTGAGTCCGTTGACAGATGCCGACAAAGTGTCATAGTAACTGTCGATCATCGGATGAGGTATTGTAATCCTGAAACCCGTGTCTTTCGGTTGTACCAGAGAAGAACCACCATGAATAGGGCTTTATTCTAAATACGCGGTTTTAAGGCGATCGATACTGATGCTATCGTTAGTTCCGTTCTAATAGATGATATAGTATTTCGTTGTATGCTCAAGGTCTTTGAATAATCCTTTGTATGCCGTCTTGAGTGTTTGTCGAATTGAGTCGCGTTGCACAAAGACATGTGTACTGCATAGTATGGCAGGTTGAACGGCAATATTAGTTGATTGCTATCGAGTGGAAGCAGGTTTAACTGAACTCATTGAGTTCTTAAGCCTGCTCGTGTGAAATCCATATTTATTGAAGAAAATAAAGGATCCATGAATCCTCCTAGAAGTCGGAGTGTCGTTCCATAAACGAGTTAAGCTGCGGTGTATCCAATATCAGCTTTCTGTGGATTGTAAATACCAAGTAAGACGAGTGGAAGAGCATCGGTCCACCGCGGACGTTTTCAGCTGATAGTGAAGCTTTTTACCAACCCGTCTGCTTGTGGGTGGTTGGCGGCCGTTCAGAATTGTTTGACCCCAAACAGTGTGGTCAATTAACGGAAAAGTCTAGATTCTAACTGGCGTCTACGTTTGTAGTGACAGTTGGAGGGCAGGTGAAGTTTGCTACTCACCGTTTGACGAAGGTGCGGGTCACTGGTGAACAGAGTGAATTCTCGGCCTTAGACAGAACGTTGAAAGTGCGGTACAGCTCAATACATGGCTAGAGGTTCCCTACTGCAAGTTCTATACCTCGATTCGATGTCTAGCAACGGTCTCGGAAAGAATGCTAAAGGTTGTCAGTTGTAGTTAACCCAATGTTGTAAGACTCTTCAGATTATCAAGTTGGACGAGTTTGTAGAATTATGGTCTACTATGATATTGGTGCTGCTCTAACAGTAGAACTAATCCTAAAGTTGTAGATTTGTTGTGACGTAACTGCCTAATCTATAAGATGTCACGAAGAAATCACATCATCGTCTACGCCAACTCACTGCATCGTAACAGTTACCAATACATGATAGGGAACAATCTTAGGCTAGAGATGGAACAATATATTTAATATGAATAAAAAATATAAGGTAACATTCAGCAGGGACCAGGCCTGCATGGCCAAGCCATGCCATCCAATCAACTCGGACTAATTCCGATCCATTGTTCCCGCCTTTCTCCATTCTTCGATATTTCTCCGCGTTAAATGTTTAGTGTCTAGTTCCCATATTGTCTCGCGGTAGTTCCCAATGCCACTACAAGTTTACTGCAATATTATTGGATGCCTCGGTGTCCTGGTGAGCGAGCATTGTTGGCGATAAGTTTCTTAACTGTGAAGAATCCTTTATTCGCGATGTCGTCCAAATTGACAATTTTCTCATTTTTTCGAAGTTAGTCACTTAAAGGCTTCATAAGTGATACACGTTTCGGTTGATGAAAAATTACTAGGCCGTTGAACGTGCATAGTTGTTTGATTGTAGTCGGTTGTGAGTAATCCAGAATGGCCACCACTTTGCTTCTTAGAGTTCGTATTCCTTGAGTGTTACGTTCAAGTTTCTGCTCGTTCCCGTTATTAAAGTACGGTATATCGATCTATTTGCAATTTACGAACCCAAATTAACAATAGAATCAAACTCCAGTTAAGGTACTAAAGTTTATTTGCAATTTACAAGTAGTCGACCCAAATGTCGTTCTAACAATAATCATAACAATTATAGAAACAAACCTTCAGTTTTGTAGGTTCCCGGAGCAAAAACTCCCAAATACCAAACCAATGACAAAGAGAAACCAGAATGTCCGAAAATAATGATATAAACAAACAAGTTCAGAAATTGAGTGAAACAAATGCATCCAAGAACACAGTGGAATTAGGAATATTTAATATAAAGGTATTATTCAGTTAAATGTCTTCAGTTCTCCTGTATCATTGAGTACAATAATATGTTTGAGAAAATCTAGAGAATTGGCCGCGGTTTGACATTCCTGAATGTTTACATTAGTGCCGTGCTTTTGCTGTCGTTCGAAGACAAGCTACAGATGCTGGAGATAAGATTCTCTGTCTGCACTAGCTATCAAGCAGTCATCCTTTAACCAAATCGATTTTCCAAAAAAAACAGTTGTACTCTTCTAGGTAGCTGTTAAATCGTGAATGTGTGGAAACGGATAGCGATCAAAAATGGTTTTCGCATTTAATTGCCGATAATCATCAGTTGGATGCCAGTTGTTGCTGTCCTTTTTTTGGTACCACGTTCAAAGGAGATGTTCATGCGCTGTTTGTAGGCCAAATGAACCTCAAGTCTGTAATGTAGTCGAATTCATCCTTAGCCAATCCCAGCTTTTCGAGAGCTAGTTGGCGCGCCTTCGTGATTATAGGTGGTCGGGTAGTCGTGATGTGATGTGCGACATTACTGGTTACACACTACAATTTCGTTTGTGTTTTGTATATCTTGAGGCACTTATCGAGTATGCCATACATTGGCACAGAAACATCGGCAACAACGAATATACAATGCATAGGTTTGCGTAAACCCATGTAAAGATAGACGTGCCGTTTACCCTATATGGCGTTAGGTTTTACGTTTGCCGCCCGTAAGTTTAAAACCGGTGTGTGCAGTCGGCCGTTAGAATTTCCTGGAAGAACACTGACTTCTGCGTCAGTGTCGACGAGGTAGAAAACTTTCGTTATAACATCAGTGACATATAACAGGCGGCTGTGTTCGCCGGCTACGGTTACCGTTAACGCGTGCCGGCTGGGAATTCTTTCATGTTAATCAGTTTGGGACTCGGAAAATTGCAGGATTTTCTGCAATCTCAAGAAGATTTTCCGTACTAATTATGATACCAGTACCAGTGGGGGTTATCTATCCCTCATGGTTTAGAGACAGATCGTTTTCATGAAGAACTTCATAGAGGGGTTTGTGATAGTTTACGGTCATACTAAATACGAAGATAATGTGTCAGCCTATGACATAGTTCCGTAATGCCATTCAGTGTCGCTTGAGGCTTTTCTTTGGCTGAAAAAATGTCGGCTCTAGAAGATTTGCTGATCTCAAAATTACGGTCGGCAGATGCAGCTAGCTCGTCTACGGCGTTGTTTTGAAACGAGACCAGCACATCTTACACCTGTTGAGGAAGTTTCGACAAGAAGAGTTGTCTAAATAGGACATCTTCGAAAGTTCTTTGGTTAATTAGTTCTCTCATTCGTAACAACATGTCTGTTGCTGAGCCACGTTGCAGATCGATCTTATTGAGAAGTTAATCTAGCCTCTGTTGATCGGTTAGATCTCTGTGTTTCAGAACAAACCGTTTTAGAGTTACGATAGCTTTTAAAACACCACTAGAAATCATACTAGGCGCACGCTAGTGCCTTTACTACTGAGAGGAATTGTGCACGTGGAT